TGTAAAATTATAACGATTGAATATTAATAGAGCATTCGTTGAGACGAATCAAACATGATCTCACACGACTCTTTTACTTTTGTGAGTAAATTTGAAGATTATATAATACTCCCTTTATCCCAAAATACATGACACAGTCAACATTGCACACATGTCAATACACTACTTTGAATTTATTTGTATATAATTAAATATTATGACAATTATTTTAAAATTATATTTTTTGGAACTTTATATACATACCTAAAGATTACCAAACTTAAAGGAGAGAAATAAAGAACTGAAATAAATCTATAATAACGATTTATTTCCTTTTTATTTTCAGTAATTTAATTGCTTTGATTAATTATGTCTTGTTTAATTATTTTGTTTAGCTTAGATTTAATTATGAGTGAGTAGATTTATTTCTAGGGTTTGTGGGGATCCTTGAATAATATAAAGGGGTAAATTATTATTGTCAATTGTTAATGCTTGATTAATTTCCTATTGATTGATTTAATGCTATGCAATTAGATTATGCCTGGTTTAATTGTATGAGTTATGCAATATTGATTCGAGATTCGAGAGATGAGAATTGATGTTTAGGCTTAGTTTCAATAGGTAGGTTAATTTTTTTTTTCCACCTGCAAATATTTTAGACATGTTTTGGTTAGAGGTTAAGACATGTATAAAAAATTAAATTAAATAAATATACCCGACAATGAAAAAAATTAATGTCGATTCTTAGATTTTTTGTGATGGGTTTTTGACCTAATTTCTGAAATTTGTAATGAACTGGGTTGAAATCCTTGTCGAGAATATATATACGACACATCTTGAAGAAAATGATAACCGTCTATTGATGCACATGAGAATACAAGCGACATCTTCATTTTTAATGTTCGACACAATTATTAAATTCAAATCAATAATTCTAAAACACAAACATCATAATAATTATAAAACAAAAATAGAATGAATTAAAAAAAAAATTATAAGTTGATTTGATAGTTTTTCGAAGCCTTTTCAAACGGCTAATTCCAGAGTTTTTTGATAGTACGTCAATACTAACATGCCCGTTTGTTTACCATGCTTATAGTAATTTGATCTCCACTCTGCACCAGAATCATTATAATCACGAAAATTAAGCCACTTTGTAATCAAAGTGTCTATAATAGGCTCCAACTAAGCAAAAAAAAAAAAAACTAAATTATCAAAGGCGCGAAAATTAGATCATTTGAATATCAACTTGTACAATAAGAAAAAGTTTCTTCAAAGTTTAATGTAATTTGTTAATTACGTAATTATTTCATGTAATTTGTTACCCCTAAATGGTTTCGTGTAATTGATTTATTTAAAAAATTATTACTTATCTGTTTCAAAATGATATTCTCACTGGTCATTTTGTTATTTAATTACTTAAATTGTTTTGAACAAGGTAATTAGAGCAATTAGAATTTATAATACAATCATCCAAAGTAGTAGTTAAGTTCAAAAGACGATCACGAGCAAAGTTAATATCTTCCAAAATAAAGCTTAAGCAGCATGGAGGAGTTTTGTTGTGTACAACCATGGTATCAGTTGGTCTGTTCTTCTGCCTTGTTTGCTTCTTTTGCTAGGGCATCTGCCACCTTGTTTCTTCAAACTCCAGATCCGTCAAAAATACTTACTTTGGCTCAGGAGTTGCCTGCATTTCTCCACAATAGAGGTTAGCCCTTATTAATTTCCTAAGGTACAGTGTTTGGTCCAGTATCAACTGTATGTATGTTTGGCTTATTTGCAGCTTCCTGAACAACCTACTTAATCATGGATTTATATCCCTAAAATAACAAGAACAAACCTAAATACATGATACTTTCCTTAATGAGACAAGAAATACACAAGTTTTTTCATGGTTTTTGGCAGTCACAAACAAACACAACATATCAGTTTATAGACTAATGATATCTTACAGCCTGCAACGTGCTCACACTCATGGCAAAAATTCAATCCATATATACATGTTCAATTATCATGATTTTATAACCTTAAACACCATTATAAGTTCACAACATATAGGCATACAAACAAACAACAAGCTTAGATTGGATAGCTAAACTAAACTTAAGTGTAAAAAAAGCAACCCAAAATCTAATTTTTGGTTGGCCCAAAAAATATTATACTAAACTAACTAAAATAAAACTAGATCAATTAAAATAAAACTAAACATCACGCAACACTTTAATCATAATATGGGGTGTTACAATAGTAACATAACTTACACTGTCCAACTCCATTGCCTCTCTCTTTCTCTCTCTCTTTTTTTTTTTCCCACCTATATGAATTTTAGACATGTTTTGGTTAGACGGTAAAACATGTAAATTAGGTAAAATATACTGTTTTTTTCACCATATACCCCTAATTTTTTTTATTTATTCACCATATATCCTTGAAAATTTTCAAATTTACCATATACCCCTGAGTTATTACAAAAAATCACCATATACCCCTAATGACAACAAGATGAGTGAAATTTAGTTAATTATTCATCGAAACCACCTTAGATCTCTTCCCCCATCCTCAAGGCCACTCATCTCCTTTTTTCAACCCCCGAAACCACTCCAAATTTCCATAATCATATCTGTATGATTGATTTTGAGGATGAAAATAGGAAATTTGGGGGTGGGGAAAATAAATGTGGGTGATTTTCGGGAGTAGGGGAATGTATTTAAGGTGGTTTCAGGTCATTATTATCCCCAATGACTGACGAAATTAACAATTATTAGTTATCAAGGTGTATGGGCCTATTTTTGTGAAAACTCAAGTACCGAGTGATTAAGTAGTAGTGACAGTTAGGGATGTCAGTGGGGCGGGTCAAATAGGAGACCCGCCCCATGGCGGGGATGGGTCCTGGTTTGGCGGGTGATGGGGCGGGGATGGGGATAAAAACCATACACGCCATGGGTGATGGGGCGGGGGTGGATTTTAGGTTGTACGCCCCATCCCCGCCCCGCTTCGTACCCGCCCCATCCCCACCTACCCCACTTCGTACCCGCCCCATCCCTACATCCATATATTTTTAAAAACAAAATTATATACTTTTATACTATTTTATAAAAAAAATTATGTAAAATAAAATAGTAAATATAATACTTTGTAATACACTTATATTATAAACAAAAAAATGTGTAATATTAACAATAATTTTTTTTCTTTTTGCAACCTTTATTAATTATGAAGGATTGTGTATTTGGGAGGCGGGGATTAGGCGGGTCTTAGGTGGGGGTGGATATCCAAGTGGGGGTGGAGTGGGGATAGTTTTAGAATTGTACCCGCCGGGGCGGGGATGGGGATGAATTTTAGACCCGCCGCGGGGATGAGGATGGGGATGGGGATGGAGATGGGAAGGCCAACATCCGCCCCGTCCCGCCCCATTCACATCCCTAGTGACAGTTTACAAAGAAAGTAATGCAGGGGAGTGTCGTCTAAGGTGCAAAGGAAGAGAAAGTAAGAGAGTGGCTTATTTTAGCTTTGATAATGCATGTTGTACAGAAGAAATGAATATAGGATTATTATGAGTTCAAACAGTAGTCAACTTTTCCGTTTCTACTGATTATGCTTTACTTGATAGTCATAATTATAAAACCCGTCTAAAACAGAAGACAAGACGTCAGCGAAAATAACGTTGAGACGGTAGTGCCACTTTAAAGATTACCAAAAAGGAGAGAAATAAAGAAGTGAAATAAATATATAATAAAGCGAAAGAAATCTCAAATGGTCATATAAACTTTTTAATGAGGCATAACAACCTCAAACCCAATCATCACAAAAAGAGAAGGTTTAAAGATAACAAAAGAAAGTCTATAAGACTGTTAAGAAACAAACTAAACACTTTATTTTCAGCCCAGGCTCAACAAGAACTACTCTTCAATCACCTGCAAATAACATTTGCACCCTTAAATAATTTGTTAACCCCTAAAAATTATATACAATTATCTCACCCTTAAATAATTTGTTAACCCTTCGTTCAAAAAAAAAAAAAAAAGTTTGTTAACCCATTCAAAAAAAAAAGAAAAAAAGAAAAAATGTTGTTAACCCGTCTATAAATTATTAACCCCTTGATAGTATGCTCACCTCTAATAATTTGTTTATTTTTAAAAATCATATATAATTACCCCAATCAGATCAAAAGGGTTAGAACTTGGATGAGCAGTATCCTACCAAATAATTTGTTTATTCTTAAAAATCATATATAATCACCCCAATTAGATCAAAAGGGTTGGAACTCGGATGAGCAGTATCCTACCAATCAGATCAAAAGGTTGGTGCTCTTTTATGTTACACTTCATGTTCTTTTACATATACTAAGGGTTATATACTAAGTAGAGGAACATGGAGTGATATATATCTGTTTATCCAAAATAAAAGCTAAAAAAGTTTCAGTTATTTAAAAATGCTAACCGCAACCGAACCGTTAAGAAGGTTCAGTTACAGGTTAACCGTTAACCTATTTGGTATTGTTTTATTTTAATTATCATTGCATTTATCCTACATTATACAAGACATCAATACACATCAAAACCTAATTATTGCTCAAAAATAATTTCCCTGGGCCTTCTTGGTTATCACACTAGTTAGGATTTGTGGAGTATGCCCTCAAGACTTAATTGCCAAGTAACCTAGCTTCATTAATCGACATCCATATCTTATGTTATTCAATGTGATCACAAAGGTTGATGTCCAAAAATGATCATTGTGGCCTATTATATGTATAGCAATTACACAATCGGAGTTATGATTTAAGAACTCTACAATCATTTATACATCTTTGTGAGTAAATGTATGTTGCTATTGCATCTTTTTCGGGCATCTGTGGTTTTACTGCCATGGTGACAAGACTGCATTTTACTTTCTGAGTGTTGCTGAGCAAGATCACTAGATCAGACTGATATGTTTAACGTTTCTGAATTCCCTTCAATACCTTGGAGTGCCTTTGACATGCTGTTGTGTACTGACATTTTCGCGGACAAAGGGTTTGAGCAAAATCCTATGCTGGATAGCAGCAAGGAGCATTTTAATTAGCTTGTTTGCTTATGAGTGTGCACAATTTGGTCATTGGGCTAACTTCATTCACCCAGTTGCAAAAATTACAATCAACCAAGCTTACTGTACTTTTTATCAAAACTCAAAGAGGAGATCGATGTTGGGTTAAGAAAACGATATGAATTTGCTGTTTACACTTGAAGTTAGTATGCAATAGAAAACATTAAGCTTCTTGCTATGAACCTGAATCTACCAAAAACAACAATTATGGAAGCCTTGTAAAAATGTATCATCGAAGTAAAAAAAAAAAAGAAAAAAAAAAAAAAAAAAACCTCGTACATGAGTTCAAAGGAGAGATCTTTATTTCTTGCAATCATTTTGTAATTTATGAATCATATAAAAAAAATCTTCAAACTCGTGCATCATAAAAAAAATAACAAAAACACAAACTACACCACCTACCAAAATAGAAGCCCAGAAAATGGCATGAAATTCATCTAGGATCTAGTATCAGGGATCACATTAATGATTCACGAGGGTTTTCTCTAAATGTTCATTCTCTGTCCTCATGGCATCAAGGTCAGCTTGCAGTTTATGCTTATCCAAACTCCGGGAGGCAATTGCTGTTAACTTTACTTCAAGTTCTGCAGCTTCTCTTTTAGCTTTATCAGCTGCAAGGATTTGCTCCCGAATCTTCTCGAAGCATGCATGTATATTTGTTAGCAGCCTGTAAGCTTGACGTCCAACAGGATCTTTCTTTGCTTCCCTAAACATAAATGTTCAAACTTAAAAATAAGTCGGTAGCACTTTTGTGCCAAAGCAAGCTTGTTACAGAGATATTTCATATTTTTTTAGCTTTCCCCCCTTCTTAGAAAGAGTTTTTCCATTTTGAGGGAATAAGGCCCCCCTTCTTTTTAACTTTATAAAATCAGTGAAATAGTTTCATTCAGTTGAATTCGGTAGCTGCATTACTTAATCAGTAATAATCAGTTTTAATCAATTAAATCAGTTTTTATTTGAGAAAGTAATTTCAATAAATATCAAGTGAAGAGAAAAGGACCCAAGGTACAAAATTATAGACAATGGAAAAACATACGCCACAAATTATATTGTCTTAAAGGTCTTCCAGAGGGTAAAACAATGCACAAGCAAAACTTTTCAGGGTTCTCACCTTAATATTGTTTCATCAACCACTGCATATGTTCGATGAAGGCGTTCCTCAATGGAGTTACTCTCTAACTTCAGCTCTCTTGTTTCCTTCAAAATGGGATCAATATCTGTGTCCAATTTTCGACTGTTCTTTGTAATCTCAGTGATCCTTTCAATATATGATCTCCTAGAAGCAACTTTTGGCTGCTGCTTCATTTCTCCTGTAAGTTTAGTACATTCCTCTTCCCTTAAAAAAGACAAGAAAATTTAAGTCATTTGCCTTGAGTTTATAACCAGCGACAAGAAGCTTGAATGAAAGTATGTTCACTGAAGGAGATGAGAACGAGGAAAGCCAAAACCAGATCAAACAAGTAACACTTGATTACTACAGTAAAGTCTTATTCATCTATAAGTCAAAAATTTACCCAGTCATCACAGCATAATTAAGAAGGCCTATTTTATTTATACTCCGTACATATTTACCCATTAGGAAACTATATGATGGTAATCCAGCACTTAGGATTACTATAAATCAGGATGCTCATGATTAGGCTCAAAACAGCGTAAGCTGTAGGTATTGTACCTGTTTCTGATTTCAGATAAAACAGTATGAATTTCACTATCAATGTCTTTCAGTTTCTGCAGTTTGAGCTGACAGTCAGGATTACTCTCACAAAGGGACTCCAGAAGATTCCATTTTTTCTCTTCCAAAGACTTCCTATCAATGTCACTGTAAAGATAGAAATATAATATCAGCATACTACAGAATTACAGATCATTTTGCATGTCCAACAAATTGAGCTAACCAACTACGTTTACCCATAACAGAAAATGCCAGTAACATCAGCTAGAGCTATTTATATTTGTTTTGAAGCCACAACATCATATACTGATGCTGCAATGAGACATTAGGATTTGCATCATGCCTTAAAAGCTACACTGGGATTGTCCTACCAGCCTACCGATTATACATTAATGTTTCTTGGTTATAGTAATTTTGTTTCAGGTAGAAAACATCACCTAAGTACTCAATTCAAGTTCAATCTTAAAAAAATGTTAAAAGCATTAAAGCATCACCACTGGTTCTCCAACTCATGAAGGTTTTCATTTCTCGAGACTATTTCTCCACTGAGTTGCTCAACATAGTAACTGAAAGAAAGCTCATTATCAAGTGCCATTCTCATTGCTTCTTTGAGTAGTTCATGTTCTTCCTCTAGATGGTGTAATTCAAGATCTTTTCCTGTATCCTTATCAGGGAACACTATTTCTTGACCACATCTGCTTTTTACCATGCGTTTCAACTGCATAATACGTAAAAGGAAAAGAAATTTTAAGACAAATCTTAGTGTCCAGGTTGTCGACTCTTAATTTTGCTTCACATTTGACAGACAAAGTACTCTCTCCATCCTAAAATAGTCGTCAAATTATCCAAACCCTCATAGTTAAGGTTCTTATTCTTGTGTTCAATGCAGCAATGCCCATCACATAATTAAAGTAGTGACACTGTTAGAAACCAATCATAAATCACTGCGGAATATTAATTTAAAAATGGCAGCAGCTTTTTCCGGTATTCTAAAATAGTATATTTTGTTTAGGACTACTGATTATGGACAGAGGGAGTATCAATTTTCTGCTGTCATATCACTAAGATTTTCCACCACAAAAAAAGGCAAAATGAAAATAAAGTCAAGAACAAGTAGCAACAACATAAAAGATCCAGTCATGCATATACTATAACCTATTCAGTAGTACCTCAGGTGAGAACATCTCACAAGACATTGAATCCATCTCAGGCTTGCAAGTTTCTGTAACAACAGTAGTTTCCTTAACTTGAGCAGTCTTCTCAATCAAGTCTCTTGAACATGCTATTGTTTCTTGCTCGTCAACTTTGCCAGTTATAGCTGCCAAATTCAACTTCTCAGAAACAAGATTATCTTTAAGCAATGGAACTTTGGCACAGTTACTCAATGGTCCCAGTGCATCAGTCTCTGATCTCCCATCCAGCAATTCTTCTCTAACTTTCTGATTGTTTGGGTAGACCAAAGGTTTCAGTTCAGGTTCAGCTTCAGCAGTCGTCTCAGAGCAGGTCCTTGAAATGTCAACATTGCTGGACCTCACATTATCTGCAAACTTGACAGTTTTCCTGGCTTCAGACAATTCAGAAAGCTTTTCCACCAAAAATCTGACCAACTTATGCAAGTCCTCTTCAGACGGGTACAGGAACTGCCGTAAGCAACATATATATTCTGTAAATTATAAATAGTAGTTATAGAAACATAAGCATAATGGTTATGGTGAGAAATGATCAAGAATATTAGAAGTCATTAACAATTCCATTTGCAGACTAGAACTATAGAAATCTAAAACACAATTCTTTAGCAGCAAGAGAACAACCTTCACCAACTACACAAATTCATCTAAAATCATCCAAGAAAAAAGCAAGAATTTCTTCCCATACAAAGGCAGAATATAACATGACAAGGTTGAGAACAAATACTACCTTCCCAAGCTTATGCAGTCAGTTCACACACAATGCCGCAATGGTTGATATATTTGCGCTAGAATTTAGATGAAAGGGTGTTTGGCTGAGATTATTTGTCAGAAAAAATGGTTCCATTCACTAAACTATGGAATTATCTATCTTTTTTTTTTTTTTTTGAAACAAATCAATTCATTAATAAAAAGCTATCCGGCGTCTACAAATAAAATCTAAATTGACAAATACATAAAATTTAATCAAATTAGAGTTTCCTTCATCAAAGCTATCTTATTAATTATGAAATGATCAAGTCCTTTCTGTGCAAGCAGACGAAACATACATTATGAATTCTAGGCGGCGACAAAATGCTCGATTTTCAATCAACATTGAGAATGGCATGCACATAGGAACATGAATAGATTGAGTTCATTTGACACATAGCAAGATAGACTATAACACATCCAATAAAAATTCTCGGTACGATATCATATGTAAATCTCATAAAATTACTTGTACTTCAAAAACACCATACACAAATCACTTAAAACACTGTTAATTGTTGAATATACAATTGCAAAATCTTACTCAAGCTTAGTCACCACAAATCACATAAAAGTACTTGTACTTCAAATAATGACTATTTGAGTGACTAGGGGAGACTAGCCTATCCTGTCCGTTCCATATACTCGTTGTCTACAAGACCTACTAATTCTTTCGATTCATTAAAAATAGGCCAACATTTCCACTTAATTGATAACAGAAACACAGGAAAATACAAGAAAACAACAAATTGACAGAAAAAGATAAATAATTTATTTCCAATCTCAAATTAATTTCCTAAATCAAATATCCAAATTGCAATAATCTCCATTAAAGATAGAGAAAAAGGTTATACCTGATGGAAGCCAATCTCAAAAGGGTACCCGAATTGCTGAAAAAGGGAGGCCAAATGAGTGCAAGAATTGACCTTTTCTGCCATGGAACCAGGGAGTGAGGTTGGAAACGACGACGTTTTATTGGTGTTGTGAAGGAGAAGAAGGAGAGATTGGGAAGAAATGGAGAAGAAAGATGAAGAATCAAGGTCTTTAATTGAAGTGATTTGAGATGGAATTTCAATCCCTAGATTTCTGAGTGAGCTGATTAATATTTCTTTCGATCCTTCCATTTTTTTTTTCTCTCTTCAATGGCGTTCTGCAGTTCTGGGAGTGTAGGACGAATTTTACAAATCTACTTGCAAGCAAAATCATTTTTCGTTAAGTATTCCGATCTGACTCGGGTACTAGTGTCGGACACGATCGCACCGGTACATGTCTAAGTGTAAGTGTAATACTGAATTCGGTTTAATTGTGAAGGTTCGTCATGATTTTTAGGGGTGAGCATGGGACGGGTACCCGTACTGTTAACACTATCGGTTTGGGTACCCGATAACCAATAACACTAAAAATAATATCCATTAGCCGAACCAATAAGTTCGGGCACCCGAACTTCGAGTACTCGGATTTTCGGTTTGGTTATCGGTTACCCAATATGATATCCAATAATAAAAATTTAGACTTTATAATATAGTTATTATGATATCATTCAACACTAATTAGCAATAACACCACATGATCATGATCAAATTACTAATAATTACTAATCATTTAAATTATGAAATGATTACGAAGTAAAATAATCGTTTAGATTTTGAATAAATAGATTTAAGTACGAAAAAAAAAGAAAAAAATTGCTTATCGGAACGGATCGGGTAACCGTTAATTTTAAAATGATACCCGATAACCGTACCCGATAACAAATTATCGGATCGGGTACCCGAACCGTTATGGTTATCGGAACGGGTACCCTTATTTTCGGTTCGGTTACGGTTTGGATTTTCGGGTTTTCGGATAATTTTGCTCAGCCCTAATAATTTTAGCCTAAGATAGAGTGTTTGAGGGTCAACGTATGAGGATCCGACACAGATATGTTGTATGTTAGGTAAAATAAGTAAGATACTCTTGGTATTCGAGTTTCAAGAGAGCAAATTCTTAGGATCCTAATAACAAAAATTATACTCGTATAAAGCACTTTGTACAAGTATTTTGTATATGGTACATGTGTACATTTTTTTTGATACGAGTTCTTTTTTTGTTTTTTTAATTTATTGTACTCCGTAATAACTTTGGAGGTTATTGCTTATGTTAATTGCACATTTTTCGTCACATAAATTATGATTTTATTTTGGCAAAATCCTCCTATTTTTCTAAGGGTAATCAAAAGGCATTTCTAATTGATACATATAAGGTGAATAGTAGAAACATCAAAAGCATGGAAGAATGTGATCCTTTTTATTTTTATAAGAAGGATCATTTAATTTATTGTTACATTTTGGCCTTGTTCTTGTAATACCCATTTGGCTCATTTCAACTAAAAAGATAAAAAGTCCTATTCTTGCATTCTTGTGATGATGCTTCTACTATACATCTTCTGTGTATCAATTAGAAATGCCTTTTGTTGGTTGCATTTTTGTTTAGCTTGAAAGTTTTACAAGTCATGTTCTTGGCATTCTTTGTTAAACCTTTGAAGGATGCAATTCAAGAAGTTGATAAAAATTAATTCTGAGAAAAAAAGAAATAACTAAGAGCATGAAAAAGATGATGTTCACCAACTTATATCATATCTTTGATATATAGTTCATGTTTTGGTTGATTACAGTTGACTTAACAATTTGTTAGATTGAAAATAATGCTCTGATAGTATGATACAACTTTTAGTTTAGGCTAATAAATTTCTTGTTAAATCACAATAAAGATGGAGATTAGGAATCAGGACGAAATCGAGGACATGACATCAGTAAAAATTGGTTCAATGCAGATTGCAGGAAGCAATGGGTTTGGTCATAACATAGACTTAATGTCACAAGCCTATCTCAGGAACAGGAGTTCTGAAATCATCATAGAAGATGATTCTTCGCCTTCAGTGAACCGTCCTATTTCGATATATCTCAAGGTACTTAACAGTTAACATACATGATCATCAGTAAAAACCCTTCTAACAGTTAACTGCAATATGGAGTTAATCATTTACCATTTTTTTTTTCGTTTTTGAAAGTTTGAAGATGTTGAATACAAGGTAAGACACAATCAGGGATCAACAGCAAACCCAGTAAAAGCAGTGGTATCGAAAATGGCCTCACAACTCAATACAGAACATGACAATTATAAGCAAATATTGAAGGGCATAACAGGAAGTATTGGCCCTGGTGAAATTCTGGCTCTTATGGGTCCTTCTGGTAGTGGTAAGACCACCTTACTTAAAATCATCGGGGGTCGATTGCAGGAAAATGTCAGAGGAACTGTAACTTATAACAGCATTCCTTACAGTGCTGCTCTTAAGAGGAGGTTAGACAATAACTTCCAGTAGGATTTGATCATTGTAGGCCAGTAATATTAGTACAAAATTTTACATTCTTAATGAGTACTCTGAATATTTTCTACAGAATCGGGTTTGTGACACAGGATGATGTGCTGTTTCCACAGCTGAGTGTTGAAGAAACCTTAACTTTCGCTGCATACTTGAGGCTTCCTAGCAATATGAGCAAGAAACAGAAGTACCAAAGGGTTGAAATGATTATCAAAGAACTCGGCCTTGAAAGGTCTATCTTTTTAAGAATATATGTGACTGATCATACATTAACCTACATGTATATGCAATTATTGCAATATATGATGATTTTGATATTATTCTTTTGATGTAGATGCCGTCATACAAGAGTTGGAGGAGGGCTAGTCAGAGGAATATCAGGAGGTGAAAGAAAACGAACAAGCATAGGTTATGAGATTCTAGTCGATCCTTCTTTGCTATTGCTTGATGAACCAACTTCAGGACTCGATTCAACATCTGCCAATAGGCTAGTTCAAATTCTTCAAGGCCTTGCTAAGGTTCTTAATTATTTCATATCAATCAATCTTACAATAAATAGATAACTTATAGCATTGGTTTGTGACATATGAATACATTTTTGCTAATGATAGGCAGGAAGGACAATAATCACTACGATTCACCAGCCTTCGAGTAGAATGTTTCATATGTTCGACAAAATTCTCCTGCTATCAGAAGGATATCCTGTATATTATGGCAAAGCTTGGGAAACCATGGACTACTTCTCGTCTTTAAGGTTCACTCCAGAGATACCAATGAATCCTGCAGAATTCTTGCTCGATCTTGCTACCGGACAAGTAAATGGCATTACTGTTCCTGATGAGGTGAAGAGGGATAATGGCTCCCCTGCATCTGACAAGGCTGTTCTGAAAGTACTAATTCTTGCAAAAGCTTTGTTACATTTTTGATTTTTGGAAAAATCAATGTACTTGTAAAGTGTATAACATGTTTGGTTTTGTTTGATCAAATGGCAGTACATACAAGTCAAGTACAAGATGCTCTTGGAGCCGAAAGAAAAGGAAGAAAATCATCGATTGTCCAGCATACCGGAGCATCTTCGAATAGCCATCCAAGTTAAAAAGGACTGGTCTATGACTTGGTGTGACCAGTTCGGTATATTGTTTAAGAGAACATTCAAAGAAAGATGGAGGGATTATTTTGACAAGTTGAGATTACTTCAGGCACTTGGAGTAGCACTTTTATTGGGCCTTCTTTGGTGGAAATCGAAGAGTGAAACCGAGGCTCAACTAAGAGATCAGGTACATGTACTTATGATTATCCTAGTTTTTGTTAAGAATATGAAATGTATTTCCTACAATAATATCTTTAAAACTGGTTTATATACAATTATCAATATGTTTTACCTTGAGAAAAACTTAATTTGTCTAGGTTGGTTTGATGTTCTACATATGCATTTTTTGGACATCCTCGTCGATTTTTGGAGCAGTTTATGTATTCCCTTTTGAGAAGATTTACTTGGTGAAAGAACGAAAAGCAGACATGTACAGGCTAAGTGTGTACTATGTTTGTAGCACACTTAGTGATTTGTTAGCTCATATACTCTACCCTACTTGCTTCATGTCCATTGTTTACTTCATGGCCGGGTTCAAGAGAACCGTTGAGTGCTTTTTCCTTACCCTTTTTGCGATATTACTCATCGCGTTTACTAGCCAAGTAAGTTAAATTCAAAATTTAATGGAAAATTATTTACCGTGTTATCTGTTGAGTACTTATTTTTGCTGATTCTCTAGTATCGACTACTGACTTTGGACAAATGTACATGTTTTGTGCAATCGATTAGGGGGCTGGAGAACTTTTCGGAGCAGCAGTTTTGAGTATTAAAAGGTCGGGAATGATTGCTTCATTGATACTAATGTTGTTTCTTCTCACTGGAGGCTATTATGTTCAGGTAGTTAACTTTAGTTTCAATCGTTTCATAATGTTATCCAATTTTTTTTTTATGTTTTCGAAACAATAGTCTATACTTCTCTTAAACAAGTTAAAAAATAAAGGTTACGTTACATACTCCTAGATCTCCAGCAACACGTATTGTGTATCATAGTGTGGTAGTAATACGTTCTGATTTATTGTTGTTGTTATTGTTATTGTTGCAGCATATACCAAAGTTTATGAGGTGGTTGAAGTACGTATCGTTTATGTACTACGGATTTAGATTACTATTGAAAGTGCAATACTCAGGAGACCAACTATACGAGTGTGAAAGCAGTGGAGGATGTAGGCCTCTGCAGAGCTCCCCTTCCTTTGACACCGTCAATTTAAATGGTGGCTTGCAAGAAGTTTGGATCCTTCTAGCCATGGCTCTCGGCTATCGGGTACTCGCATACATTAGCCTCCGAAAAAGAATCAATTCTTGCCATCTTTGATCATCTAGATGTACTACTAAAACTCTTCTTCTAGACTGATTGATTACTTAACTGTCAAATTATTGGTAGGATAAGTGTACTATTATTGATAGAGAATACATGCACAATTATATTTATTATATTCATCCATTATTGCCAATTCATTTGTAGAGGGTTAAATAAAAATGATTATGGAGCCCATGTGCTTTGGGGTTAGCTAGGCCCGGCCCATGAGCTAAGCATTGTGCCTAAGCCAAATTTTAATGATTTTAGTGAGTTTTGTCATCTCGTGCTAGGTTGTGCTATTCCTTGTCGTGCTCCCAAATAATGGCAGCCTAAGCCGGCATACACTCACAACATGTGTTTTTTTTTTTTCATTTGTGACGGGATGTGGTGATACCGCGGGTGACTAGCCCGACTTAGTGCTATCTTTACAACTAATGTAACTATATTTTAATTTAAATTTTTTTTTTGGCAAGTTGAGTTTCCAAAAGTGCAAAAATTAAGACATTAAGCTCACACTTGATCACTATATAACGTCTGCAAACAGGTTGATTTATGCATGTTAATAGTCATGAAGCACTAATCTTGAATGTTTGTGAGTTGGCCTTGCTTTACATCCAACCGACTTGATCTATACGTAATCATCTTTTATGTAGGGTATGCAATGCACCCCTCTAGAAATTATACTAAGAAAACTATACTACTTAAACCCGATCTACATCCAATTGAACTAATAATTCCATAATCCAAATTTCATAATTCAATTCCGTATTCATTTTCATGAAACCTAACTAGCGATTAATAAAAAACTAATAACCTAACTTATGCAAGCAGTTGGCCACTATATGTACAATGATGCATGATTCGTCATGTATGAATAACTACTAATGCAAATTAGCTGATTGTTCCAATATTATAATGGAAGTTTCGTAGAAAATTCCTAAGATGACAAAAGCCTGACTTCTGAGCGAGCTTATTAAAACCGAAAGGTAAAATTTAAGATTGCACAATCATGATGTCAGATTAAAATACAAGAACAAAAAGTTACTACTGCTGAGGAATTTAGTATAGATGATACTGAATTTTTTGAATAGATATAGTGATATATCAATGGCTAAACAATGTACATCTACGGTGCCACCCCTAGTTTTGTCCATGCTCAAATTATTTGGTCGTGCTAAATCGAGAGTCTAATCACGTACAAGTCCAGTAATGATCCATGTTGAAATTGATCAATAAATGGTAATGGTTGGGAATAAACTTGAATATGAGCTGAAAGGTTGCATTATAAAACTAATTGATAATAGATGGAGTAGCCCACCAGACTAATTACTATGTTGATCGTACTCTTTTCTCTTCTTTAATGTTTAACATGTGTATCTATAAATAGTATCAACTAGCTTAGTCAGCCAAGGTCAAATTCGGACCACTTGTAAAGATTAATCATCTTTTGTTCATCTAAGTGTTCCATAATCTGATACAGCAATTAAGCAATATGATTAAGTAGTATTGCTATAAATTAGGCAATCTTAGAGCTGTATGAAAAAACAATGATCTACCTACTTTAACATATGAAAAACATTTACTTCCTAGTAAGATCCAAAAAGGAAAATTCTTGATAAACATCATCTTCTCAAGTTGTAGGCGGAACATAATATTTTTTTTCTTATGTACTGTATTTATATGCTACCAGAATCTCCTAAAACTACAACACCCAAAATTTCTTGAGAAAAAAAAAAAAAAAAAAAAGCCGAGAATGGGCTCATATTCTTGTAATGTATCTAATAGATATATGGAGTCATGTAGCAGTACTGTCCCATGGAGGGAGATGTTTCAATCTGCTTCGTTTCGTATGCCTAAATCCGATCCTTTTTCTGACACTGAAACAACTGATCATGTAATACCTCCTAAGGATCATGCTATGCAAACACAAGGATTAAGCGCGATTCATGTACCAGAAGCAGATGGAAGAAGTTCATGTTCTTCTGAGGTACATCTTTGTAGGCTAACATAATATACAAGATTTAGAAGTACTAGCTACTTCGTAACACTTTTGATAACATTTTAAAGGACTGATCTTATTTTCTCTCTATGTGAATGACTTCAGTAACAACATGTCCTTGAATTTAAAATGTTTATCACTTCTTAAATAATTTCTTTCTATTCCCTTTTTCTGTTCTGTTCCGAGGACACACACAACTTTCATAACTATATAGACCCAAATTGAGCCTAAGCAAGCCTACTAGTTTAGGATAGATAATTGGCAGCAAATTACAAGAACAAACTACCATTTGTTAGTTTGATTTCTATGAAATACTGAATTTGTTCCTAGCTATATTAGTTTAATTTTTTTAAAAAAGTCTAAAACTTGATATATTTACTGCACTTAGATGAGGTAACTATGAGTTCTACATGACTAGAACTTCGTATTTAGTCAACTACCCTGTCTTACCTCCAGGATCAAATTGAGAAGGAACATAACACTAACCAAAGGCATAATGCCTTGCAAAAATGCAGATCCGTGGGTTGCGTTCTTATTCACTAGATCATAATCCTTCCAGCAGCCTCAACTTGAATTCAGAAAACTCTTCATCTGTCCCTTGGCAAGTCATGTTTCGCACTGCTTCATTCAGCAGGCCTGATATATCTTTTCGAAACCAAAATCCAATCATCGAGGATAATGCAGCAGCTACAGAGAAGGCAGGACATGATGTTCTAACAGAATCTAGCCTCGTAGAAATATCACCTGATGAAAGAAATGTTACAGGAAGCACTTCAGAGACTTCAGAAAAAATTATTGAAAAGATAGAATCTAAGCAAAGTTGTTGTTTTGCTTCTGATGCTTGGATATGGGTTGCAGTCTATGTTACCTTAGGACAAGCAGCAGTCACAGTTCTGATTTCCCTGTCCTACGGAGTCTCCAAATTGCTCGAAGAATACATACGACCAATTATATGGGCATCCCTTTGCTCGATTCCTTTAAGGGGAATCCAAGACACCCTTGTTGAGTTCTGGTCTGAGCCTCTTGAAGCAGGACTAACTGATGCAATTTTAGCAGTACCAGTGGCTATTTTACGAGCTTTTGCAGGAACAATAATTGATGCTCGCGATGTATTTTCTTGGGTTTTCTATGGAGAGAACAAGCTCAAAGATGTAAGGCCAGAAAAAAATGGCTTCATAAGGTTGGTCGGAAGGCTGGTTTCGTTCAGTCTCTTCGTGTTTGCTTATGAACAGATTGGAAGATTTGGGGCCTGTACTCTCATTGGATTAGGCTTCATGCTCAGCTCGAATCTTTCACCTTCAACCATCTCTGCAGTTTCTTCATTAAGAAGTGACAGTTTTCGCCAAAGGAGCACTACTTGTACACAACAAAACACGGTAAATAATCCTAATCTTGATAAGATTAGCAGGCTTGTTAGTCAAGGGATATTAAGCAGGCTGAAAACAATTTTAGCAGTAGGACTAATTATCGGAATGATCATCGGAAGTTTAGCTGGTTTGATGTTCTTCACTTACCAAATTGGAGCCGAGGGAAAAGATGCAGTAATTTCCATCAAATTCCAAATTGAAGAGAGCAACTATGCAGAAAACATCTTCATTAAGAAGTGGATACAGGAGAATCATGCAATGGAGTTGATGGATTGGTACACTTCTGAATGCTATGAGACATTATTACATCAGATTGATAAATTCGCGTCTAAATACAACTTGTCAGAATTCATAGAAGTAATCAAGCATTTTGCCATCACTCCATATACCGATGATTTCCCTGAAAATTCATCAATTTTCTTTGGCCCTCCCCAGGCAAGAAAGTACACCTTTAAGCTGAGAAATCTGATGGAAAAGCCGGTTCTTAATAAGGCGAAATGCCTTGCAACTCAAGGGATGGATTTATGGTTCTGGGTACTGACAAACAGCAAGTTCCTCTTAGATGGAAGTGCACATTTCCTGCTGTACATAGGACATGTAATGGTCTCAGGAGCAGCAGGAATAATGCAATTTCTGCTGCAATCAATAGTATTTTTCTGGGTGTTGTACTATCTTCTGACATCAGAATCTGGTGGGGTGACTGAGCAAGTTATGAAAGTTCTTCCCCTCCAAAAACCCATCAAAGAACGTTGTGTCGAGGCCTTAAACAATGCTATATCAGGAGTGCTTTTGGCAACAGCAGAGATTGCCTTCTTTCAGGGGTGTTTCACTTGGCTTCTTTATAGGCTATTTTCGGTACATTTTGTTTACATGTCAACTATGCTTGCTTTTATCAACCCTTTGCTTCCAATTTTTCCTGCTTGGCTTCCGACATTGCCTGGAGCTGTAGAGTTAGTGTTGGATGGAAGATATTTTTTGGCAATCAGCTTCTGCATAACTCATATATTGGTGTTGGATTTTGGAGCATTCGAAATCGCAGAATCTGTGCCCGGTTATAGCACCTATCTTACTGGTGTTAGCATCATTGGAGGCATGACTTTGTTCCCTTCTGCATTAGAGGTAAAATTCACATATCAAATTCTCCTTATTTTGTTACTTATTCTTGTTTAGTTTCCTGAAACAAACATATGTACTTTAATACTTCATGGTAAAAAAAAAAAATGAGTAGATAAATGACTTTATTTTATGATCGTAAAAGCCAATTTCAATATATGATATAGTACGAGTATAACAATAATATAAACCGGATTTATCTTATAACTTAAGAAGTCTACAAAAATTGACATTTTTGCGGCTTACTATTTGGGGAAAAGGGTTATAGTACTCTTATTTGTAAGTTATTTTCTTGCATTATATGATGATTACGATTGATATATGATGCTGAGTTGCTAAATGCTTAAGCTTAGGCATGTGAGCTTTCTGATAATACTGATTGATTAATGAAGACTAGCTTAACTATGAATAAAGATAATTAGACTAGATTAAACCCTTAAAAAATTTAGACAACGAAACATCATAATTAGAGATATTCAACAAAGCCTAATATCTACATCAACCACTTCCCCCCACCAAAAAATTAAATAATCAAACCAATCTCTCCTCTATCAACTCCTCACATAATAAAATCAATCTTTTTGTCTCTTCATAATCAATAATTTCCAACCTCTTAAATTATTACTCTAAATTTTGTGTCTATATTCCATTCATTTTTTTATTACTAACCTCCAATATTAATAAAAAAAAAATTATTATACATTACGCTCACATTTTCCTTTAAAAATCTTCAATTTCATGAGTAAAAAACTTTAACTATGAATAATACTTGTTCATGTGAATGTGATAACTTGTAAAATTCGTTTTTTTCCTTATATATTACAATGCGTTGTTGAATATGTTGATAAACAAATGTGCGCTAAAACTATAAAATTGTGCAAATGCAAATGAGACAAACAAAAAAACCTAAAATCATTAATTAATTAATCTTCAATTTTCTAAACATTCTATTGTGTCCACCCAATCAAATTCCCCCCTTTAAATTGAAAAAAATATAAAAAAAAAAAAAAATTCTCTCTCCTCCCTTTCTCTTTCTCTCTCCTGCTTTCTTCATTCTCCATCAAAAAATCAAAAAAAATTCAATCTTTCCACCAATTTGATCATCAATTCATCATCATCATATTTCCTAATGGAACTTGTTCCATATTCAGACCCAAATGACCCTTCTTCTTCCTCCTCCACCCCACCTTGGCAAGACATGTTTCGATCGGCTTCCCTCCGAAAACCCACCTCCCCACCACCACCTCCGCCACCGTCTACGGCGGCGCGTGACTCCAACGCGCCGCCACCGTCGCATTCATCTCTCTCCGGGGACCCCCAAGTCCGGCTAGCCATGTACATAGCCATGGCACACGCCTTCCTCCTTTTCTCTTTCCTCACCGTCTACGGCGTTTTCCGACTCCTCGAAGGCTACCTTCGCCCCCTTCAATGGGCCATCCTTTGCTCTATCCCTTTACGTGGTATTCAACGAACCCTAGTTCTGTTCTGGAAAGATCCATTGCAAAAGGGTTTTACCGAAACGATTCTCGCAATACCCGTTTCGATTTTCCGGGTTTTCGTTGGTACAATCGTTGAGATCCGAGAGCTTGTTTTCAAAAGGAAGGAGAAGAAGTCGGATTCCGATGAACGTCGCCGGAAATTTCGCCGAAGAAGTGGGTTTTTCCGGTGGTTAAGGTGGTTGTTGTCTTTTAGTATTTTTGTTTTGGTTTATGAACGATTTGGGGTTTTTGGGGCAATTGGGATTTTAGGGTTTGGGTTTTTGTTTAGGGCTAATAGTGTTGATTCTACAATGGATGCTGTTTCTAGTTTTAGAAGTCAGAGTTTTAGGAGAAGTAGGGTTAGTGCTTTCTTTAGTCGTGGGATTTTGAAGAGATTGGAAACTATTGTTGCAATTGGCTTGATTGTTGTGATGATTGTTGGGTTCTTAGCTTGTGTTATTTTCTTTTCGTATAAGATTGGGGTGGAAGGGAGAGATGCCGTTTTCGGGTTGAAATCTCATGTAGAGGAAAGTAATTATGCTGAAAGAATTGGGTTTAAGAAATGGATGGAAGAGAATGATGTTCCTGGGATGGTTGATAGGTATACTTCTAAGTTTTATGACACAGTTTCGGAACAGATTGATGGGTTGGCAATGCAGTATAATATGACGGAGTTTGTGGCTGGGATTAAGCATTATGTGATTAAGCCGGCTAACGTGACTGGCCGGTCTACTGAGTTGATGTCGCCTTCTCCTTATGCTGAGAAGCTTATAAGTTTGAGGATGAAGTTTAAGGATCGAGAGTGGTGGGATATTTATACTGATATTGATGCTATTGCTAGGGAGCTAATTGCTAGTCGAGTTGATTTGGTTGAGAAGGTTAAGGGTTTTGCTGTGCAAGGACTTGATGTTGGGCAGCGTGTGTTTTCAAGTAGTAAGTCTGTTCTTGGTGGAGGTGCCAAGTTTATGTTTACTATTGTTGGGTCAATCGTCTCTGGAGCTGCAGGTTTTATTAACTTTATTTCACAATCAATGGTGTTCTTTTGGGTTTTGTATTACCTTATTACTTCGGATTCTGGAGGTGTTACTGAGCAAGTGATGCAATTGCTTCCTGTCTCGAATGCAACTAGAACTCGGTGTGTTGAAGTTATTGATAAGGCAATTTCCGGGGTTATGCTTGCAACTGCTGAGATTGCTTTTGTTCAGGGTTGTTTAACTTGGCTTCTGTTTAGGCTGTTCTCCATTCATTTCTTGTATATGTCCACATTACTTGCATTCATAAGTCCTTTGTTGCCCCTTTTCCCGCCTTTTGTAGCAACTGTCCCTGCTGCTCTACAGTTGGCATTAGAGGGTAAATACATACTGGCAATTTGTTTATCAGTAATTCATAATGTGGTCTTGGATTATGGGGCTTCCGAGATCCTAGAGGATATACCAGGTCATAGTCCATACCTTACCGGGCTTAGCATTATTGGTGGAGTGGCATTGTTCCCGTCTGCTGTTGAGGTAAAACTAAATTCGGGGTGGAATTCTTCTATGGTCAATGCATCTTCATATCTTCTTACTGACTTACTAACTTGCTTGTCAGCTATATTTATGTCAACTGTCATAATCAACTCAGACTTTTGCATTTTCTGCAGGGGAATTTTGTTTTCGAGTTTATGATCATCAGTTTTAAGCAAATTTTAAAATTTTGAACCCTAGAGGTTTTTGTGTCGTAGAATATTTATCAATAGCTTGAAACTTATACTAACCGGGTATCTGGTGTGTGAAGATAACGTGATTAAAGGAGTCGGTGATATAATTTACAATTCTATTAAAGTTGCAGCAATAGCTTGAATTACTAATCTGCGTATTGCTGATTCATTGGCTTTATGTGGATTTAATTTTCATGAATGTGCCATTGTGATGGCTTATCTTTCCATTTAGGTTTTGGTGCTTAAATGTTGCTTTCAAGTCCTATGTGGTTAGGGTTGGTATTTCTCTCATACTGAATCAATTTCTGTGATGCAGGGAGCAATAATGGGACCTTTAATAACAACCATTGTTATTGCCCTTAAAGACTTGTATGCTGAGTTTGTGCTGAACGAAACGATGGAAACAAATGAGAAGAGTAGTGAGTAAAATCAAATTCAGATTCCATCTCAGTTATGAACAATGGCTGATCTACTCATACCAGTCTGTCTAGTACATGATTTCCAGGAACACATTGCTCAGAAAATATTATCCATTTTTGGGAGGATAATTTATTTGGCTACTTAATTGAAAGCTGTGTCGATCATTGTTGTTGTAATTTTAAGGCAGTGCATCTGTAAATTTGTATTAATTCATTTCATAGTCTGTTTTCGATTTTTGACAGTTTGAGTGGTATTCAGGTCTCCCATTTTTGCTGTACCTAAAGGCTAAAGCCATTCAAATCGAGGTCCTTCCAAACTTATGTTGTAAAGAAATCATAAGATTATAAGAATACAAATGTATCATTGTTTTACAAGTCTTCCAATGTTGATAAGTTATTTTTATGTAATTTTAATTATCTGTAATTTGCTTCTAGAGGGTTGCCTCAGGAAGAAATTACTCAATATTACTTGTATACTATATAAGTTTTTTTTTTTTTTTTTTTTTTTTTTTTTTTTTTTTTTTTTTTTTTTTTTTTTTTTTTGGAATCAACTAAATTAATAAAGCATATGAAATATGATATTGTGGTACATATACTTGATTGAAGCTTTCAGGTTTGAAATTTGCATGTAGCCCAAACATTTCCTAAACTGATTTTACTAAGAAATTAATTCTAGTAGAGTCAAAATGATTTTAACAAATTTTTCAAACTGCCAAAAAAAAAAAACAATTATATTTAGGTCGGAATAAAAAAGAAGGGTTCATCTACTAGTCAAGTCTTTCTTTCATTGATTAAATCTACTTGCATGAACAATTAGACAAGTACCACTCGATCGTGAGTACAATAAGAAAATATGGAATTCGTATTAAAACAGTATTCCAAAAGGCAATAGCTGGAGACCAAGTTTTCATCCAAACAAGTAAATAAACCTTAGTTTGCACTATCGGGGTAATAACGACATTCTGTTTCAAGAAATTGTGATGGATACAGGAAAGTAGTTTCTTCATCTAATGGCTAATCCAATTTACTTCATGTACTTGTGTAAAAATTTCCTGTGGAAATCACTCCTGATGGTATCATTAATGAAGCGTTTAGTTGCTTTCGTCTCACCACGTGCTTGATTCTTGAACACAACATCATCATCCCACCTGCACCACATCAACAGGATAACTTAGGAGATCACGAAACAGTAACAGTCCAGTAGTCACATCGTTTGTAATTGGCTAGAATTTACAAGGCTAACCTTCTTTTAACGTTGAAGTTAGACGGAGCATTAACATTAATTAGAGGGTTTCCCCTCATAAGTTCTGCTTCTTTGTTTTTCAGTTCTTCCTCTTGCTGTTGTCGATCCTGCAAAGAGCACAATAGCAATGTATAGTCAATAGTCAAAAGTTGCATCACATTATTAAACCCACCCCCCCCCCCCCAAACACAGAGAAAAAGGAAAAAAAAAAAAAAAGAGAGAGAGAGAGAGAGAAAAAATGAAGAAAGAACTACAATAAGCATTGTACGTGGAACTACGGACATGTATAAAAACTAGTTCAAGGTTTAACAGTCACACCTTTCGCATTTTCTCTTCAGCCCTTTCCTTCTTTATTTGTTCAAGCTCCGCTAAAAGCGCTTCAGTTTCATCTTCATCATCATCATCCTCATCATCGTCACTGAAAACAGGGAAGTTAGCACGTAAGAAACCAGCATGTCAAAACAGATCTCTCATACAAAAACAGGAAGAAAAAAACTGAACAATCATAAATTCATAATGGTTTTCATAGAAACTGTCTAATAGCTCTGCACATATCTTTGAACTTTTGTAGGAATAACTTCAAATCAAAATCCAGAGTCATTTATGTTGCCAAGTACTAAGAGTCTTGATCAAGAGCTGAAGCAACCCTTTTATTCATGTTTAGCACTTTGAATGAAGTTTTTAGCATTCTCGCCACATTATACACATCATAGGCAGAGAGGAATTCAAAACCAGGGAAAAAGAAAAGAAACAAAAAAAAAAAAAAAAAAAAAAAAATCTAAACCAGATACCTTCAACTTAAACACCATGGAATAACATTTCATTTCTTTGCGACTATCAAGGTCTATCAGAAGAACGATAGGTTGATAAGGGTAAAGTTTCTATGTGGCAACGAGATTGTGAATGATAATAGTGCTTATGCTCCTCAAGTTGGTTTAGGTGCAGAAGAGAAACAACAATTTTGGGAGGATTTAGATTAGGTGGTACAAGGTGTCCACCACACAAAGAAATTATATATTGGAGGTGATTTCAATGGACATGTTGTGGTGAGCCAAGATGGCTTCGAGAGGGTTCATGGAGGCTTTGGGTATTGGCGGAGGGACGCAGGTGGTGAGGCTATTATGGATTTAACCCAATCATATGATTTAATTTTGGCTAATACATGGTTTAAGAAGCGGGATTCGCACTTGATAACTTTTCGGAGTGGAGCAAATGCAACACAAATAGACTTCTTGCTCACAAGGAGCACGGCTAGACAAAGTTGCTTAAACTGCAAGGTCATCCCAAGAGAGAGTGTGGTCACCCAACACCGGCTTTGGGTTATGACTATTCGTTTGAAAGAGAAGGCGAAGAAAAAAGGAAGACAAGATGAGCCAAGGATAAGATGGTGGACTCTAAGGGATGCAAACACTAAGGTTTTTACTGAAAAGATAATCGAGGCGGATTGGGATGGAGAGGTGGGTCCAGACATGACTTGGTTACTAATAAAGAACTGTTTTTTGAGAATGGCCAAAGAGGTCTTAGGGGAATCAAGGGGGAGAACTTCGATGCAGCGAGATACTTCATGGTGGAATGAAGAGGTGAAGGTAGTAATTAAGCAAAAAAAGGGAATGTTAAATGTAGGAGAGACGAAACCTTTACGGCGTATAAGGAGGCTAAGAGTAAGGCAAAGGCAGCTATTTGCCAAGCGAAAGAAAAGGCTTATCAGGAGGTTTAAAGTTTGACTCCAAGGAGGGAGAAAAGATCATTTATAAGATGGCGAAGAGAAGACAAGAGGCAAGGAAGGATATTGGCATGGTAAAGTGTGTCAAAGTTAAGAACCAAATTGTTCTTATACAAGATGAGGACATCAAGGAGAGGTAGAAGGGGTACTTCGATGAATTGTTTAATGGAAGTAATAGAGTGGTGACAGGATATACCTTTGTGAGTGATGAAGAAATCAACATGGAGTTTGTGCGGAGGATTATGAAAGTAGAGGTAGAGATTGCACTAAAGAAGATGAAGCCTAAGAAGGCGGTTGGGCATGATGGTATACCGATAGAGGTGTGGAGGTGTTTGGGTAAGATTGGTATTGATTGGTTAACAGACCTCTCAGACCTCTTTGACAAGATATGGAGAGCTACAAGGATCCCGCAAGATTGGAGGAAGAACACCTTGATCCCGTTCTATAAAAACAAAGGAGACGCTCTCGAGGGATCAAGCTTATGAGCCACACTATGAAGTTGTGGGAAAGAGTGATTGAACATAAATTGAGGGCATGCACAAGCATTTCAGATAACCAATTTGGTTTTATGCCAGGGAGATCCACTATGGAAGCAATCGATTTGATAAGACGGATGATGGAGTTTTATAGGGTAAAGAAGAAGGATCTGCATATAGTCTTTATTGATTTAGAGAAGGCATATGACAAGGTGCCAAGAGAGGTACTTTGGTGGGCAATGTTGAAGAAAAGTATCCCACGAAGGTACGTGGACCTTGTTAAGGATATGTATCGGGATGTGTTAACAAATGCGAGGACATGTGGAGGGTTGCCAAAAGATTTTCCTATTACAATTCGATTGCATCAAGGGTTTGCAATAAGCCCTTTCCTTTTTACAAAAGTTCTAGATGAAGTGATTAGACCAATTCAAGATGAAGTCCCATGATGTATGTTGTTTGCGGATGATATCGTTTTGGTGGATGAAACTAAAGATGGGGTTAATGCCAAGTTAGAGCAATGGAAGCAAAGTTTGGAATCTAGAGGGTTTAAGTTGATTCGGAGTAAGACTGAATATTTGGTATGTCGCTTTGGTACTCAGAGGGGGATGGCAATGAGGTGGTAAGTTTGGATGGAAAGGACTTGACCATGAGCGAATGATTTAAATATCTTGGGTCGATCATCGAAGAAAAATGGTGACATTGATCAAGATGTGGCCCACACGATTAAGTCGGGGTGGCTTAAGTCGAGAGTGGCCACGAGAGTGTTATGTGACCGAAGCATTCCCTTACAATTGAAGGGAAAATTCTACAGAATTGCCATACCAGTGTTGCTGCTGTATGATACAGAATGTTGGGCTTCTAAGAAGGAGCACATTAAAAAGATGGAGGTTATGGAGATACGAATGTTAAGGTGGATGTACGGGAACACTCTAAGAGATGGAAATATAAATAAGGTTATTCGCAACAAGGTAGGTGTGGTAGGCATTGCAAACGAACTAAGGGAAAATCGTTTGCGTTGGTTTGGGCATGTAAGACGGAGACCCGAGGGTGCACCGGTACGAAGAGTGAAAGAGTGGGACCATGGAGGGGTTAAACGAGGGAGAGGGAGACCAAAAATGACTTGGTTGGAAGGAGTTAGGAAGGATATGAAGTATATGGATTTGCATGAGGATGAGGTATTGGATTGTAAGGGATGGTGGAGGAGGATCTTTGTCGATAGTAACAAGGAATAATTAAATTTGGTTCATGTAGCCGACCCCGATTATGGGATTAAGGCTTTGATTGATTGATATCATGACTTCTTAAAAGTGATTGATCCACATATTCACCAGCTTGTCTGCAGCAAAAAAACTAAACCAAATACGTTTAACTTAAACACAATGGAATAACGGTTCATTTCTTTGCACCTATCACGACTTCTTAAATTTGGTTTTGCAATCGATAATGCATATTCACAGTACTTTGTGCTACAATCTATACCCTCATCAAAAGAGATGCAAATGGAACTAATATATGATGTAGAGGCATATGATCTGTGTGTTCACATTGGAAATCTTAAAGCATCATTTGAAGCTTATAACAGAATCATGCAAGTATTTTTTTTCACCCCCATTCAACATGTGCAATATATGAGCAAGATGAAAGAAGGAATAACATACAAGCAGACAGACTAGTTTGTATAACATCATAAATGGAAATGTAAGTGAGTTAAACTATTGAAGACAAAAGAAGAAACAACAGAACAGGAAATTTTTCTAACCTTTCATCATCACTTTTTACATCCACATCAGAGTCATCAGCATCTACACTTCTAGGAATGATACGGTCTTCAAAATCCCTCTTTGAACCTACTGGTAATATTGTGCACAACAGTTATTTTGACCCATTAATCCATAATATCATAATAAAATGAAAAACTGTGAATTAAAAACAAACAGACAAACAAACATAGGTAGCACCTACCTTCCAGGAGAAGATGGCCTCCTTTTCTACGATCTCTATCCTCTGCATACCACATGTAACAAAATCATAAAGTGGACAAGTGAAAGTAATTCAATCAAGCAACAAGACATTCTTGAGAAACAATTGTACAAACAACGGTTAAGAACCAAACTGATTCTAACGTCTAGTATTCTCAAACTTTCTTACCACCAAAAGATTTATCTTTAGATGAAAAATGCCTTCGTTCACGCTCTTCAAGTTCTTCACGAAGGTCCCTCTTCTGAAGTTCATCCTGGGTGTCCTGTCCGTCCTTTCTGTATTAAAATCAGAAACATGGCAGGATTAGGGGGGCAGGGCAAAGTAGATCCCTGCGCGGACATATTTTATAAGTAACAGCAACATATCACATGGGCAGGCTACAAGGAAGTAGCATTATGGTCTCCCAGCAAACTATTAGCGTCTTTATTTTTTTTTTAAAGCGCAAACTATTAGTGTCTTAAACTAAAATGAATAAGTCAATCAACAACATAAAGCATCTGGAGATCCTGCTATTCATAAAGCAAACAACAATCACGGACACCTAATACACCTTGAATTTATTAATGGCATTAAGTATACACAATCACACAGCAATAAGAACACATAATCATGGTTAAATCAGCTTAGTCAAGTAGTACATATATACTTGAGCATCAAGCAACAGAAAACTATCACATAAAGCATATATCTAATTCATATATTCCCGTCATCAAATATTACTAGACAAGCTAATAGTATAGCTTGAATTATTAACGTGACAATTAAATCCGGAAGAGAGAAAATTTATACCTTGCTAACTGCTTGCCTATATCAAACAAGGTAAAGCAAAAAAAGTAAATTTATACCTGGGCTTCAAATTTGTATGAGCTGCAAGATCCCTGGAAGAATACTTCTGAGACGGGCCAAAAATCCTCGTACCACCTTGCTCGTTGCCACCCTTTGCAGGTGCCCATGTAGGTCTAGCCGCAGTCGTCATTCTTTGTAATATTCACCTACAAATCAAAAGCTGCAAAAACACCCAAATTTACCAAAACGAAGATAACACAATTTTCCAACTTCACCAAGAAATCAGCTAATTTTCTCACAGCTTAACATAATCAATCTCCACTCAAAAAACCAATAGTTTGATTTGCAGAATCGAAAATTCACCAAAACGAGACTCCCCAAAAAAAGACCATCAGATTCTATACCTCTAATTAACAATCCCCAAAACCCTTGATTTCAAACAAAATCACTATCTCTCCAGCAAAATAGAGGGAAAATTTTATACAAATTCAGCAAAATATGTGGAAATAATATGCAAAGTATGAATGATTAATCCGCAAAATAATTTACAAACCCTAGAATTGAGATTAGATTACCAAATTATGATTCCAAGAGAAACGGAAATTGAACATCAAGCATATATATATATAAGATCGAATTACTTTTTTTTCAAAGAATTAGTTTTATACCTGGGAAAAATAAAACGAAATTCCTAATCGCTTGAATTTGATTTGTGGGAATAGATGAACAGCTGAAGAAGGACGAACTTCTGGAATGAAATATTTGGCTGCGAAAATCAATTTTAAGAGTCCGTTTGGTAGGGTGTAAAACATTTTCAATGTAAAATGGTTTTCCATGAAAATCATTTACAATGAAAAACTCATTTTTAAAAAAGCTTTCCGTTGTTTGGTTGAATGGAAAATGATTTTCCATTTTTAAGCATTTTCCATTGTTTGGTTGAACCGAAAATTATTTACTAATGGAAAACTTCAATTCTAATTGTATTTTCTTGTCAAATTGTATGCTCTTGTCATTTCTTTTACTCCTTTTCTTTTCTTATTATTATTTTCAAATATTTTCTTACTCATTATTAGCTACCCCAATATATTATACTATATTTTACTTCAAACATAATAATATAAAATAATCAAAAGAAACCAAATAGTCTTTTTTATAAACTTTATAAAAGTTCAACAAGAGTCCTAACAATTACCACGATAATAAAGGGCTACTAGGATTAAAACTTGTCCATATCGACATATAATTATTATCACAAAGTTGGTAGAACAAAAGAAATAAAAAATTAACGTAGAGATTTAACGAAATTTTGGACCCAAAGCCTACTGATGACATTCCAATCTATTTATTTTCCTTATATAACAACAATATGCTACAGAAGACTAGAATCTGGCTGGGCTCCTATTCAACCCCTGAGGCTGCTGCTAGAGCTTATGATGCTGCACTCTTATGTCTTAAGGGCTCCTCTGCTAACCTCAACTTCCCTCACTCTGCTTATTCCACTACCTCCCCTCTTATTCCTTCTCATGCTGCTGCTACTACTGCCACTGTCATGTCCCCTAAGTCCATCCAAAGAGTAGCTGCTGCTGCAGCTGCTGCTGCGACTACTACCCACATACCACTCATTTAACATGTTTAACTACTCCGTACCACTCAATAAACATCTTCAACAGCAACAATGCCACTAAACAATTACTTTACAATAAGCTCTACAGCTCGGCTGTGTTCCAGTAGAAATTTCATGGTTAATAATTCAAAACACTAATCGCTCCACAAAATCATACTTCGCATTTCTTATGCCAACATTTCTAGCTCAAAATCAAATTTAGATGATAGGCTTGATAGAAATCAGCTTCATTACAGTTACATAAAATTAGACAAAAACCCTACAAATCACTCATTAATTCTAGCCAAAACTCGTTAAATAACTCCGCAATTACAGCAAAAAATACGAAAAAATGAAACAATTATAATTTTCCCTCAACAAGCGCAACCTAGCCAGATGAAATCACGCTCAAAAAATCCAATTCAATCCAATAAAATTAACACAAAAAATCCAAAAACATTGCTTAAAATCGAATATCAACAAAATAAATCAAACAATTTGCACAAACTAATCAAACAATATAACACAAATTAATCAAATCTTGCAGCATATATACCCTAGAAACAATCGAATTTTTCAGAACAAAACCCTAAAATAATTGATTATAAAAGAGATTAGAGCAATTATGTACCAAATTCGTTGAGATTGATGAGTGAGATTTACGATGATAGCGAAAGTGAAGTTGATAAACTAGAATTGATGAGCGAAAATGTTGATGAGCGAATTGTTGATGAGCGTTTAAGAGGAGAGAGAATTGTGATTTGTGAGAACAGAAACTCAGAAAGGAAAACGTTTTCCTTTGATTTTTGGAGGAAAATGTTTTCACTGTGGTGTAAAACAATTTTATAGCCTAAATTTTCCATTTTAATTTTCAGTTTGACCAAACAATGTAAAATGGGGAAAATAGTTTTCAGGGAAAACATTTTACGTCCTACCAAACGGACCCTAAGAGCGCTTTTAATTATTTATATATTTTTGCAATAGTTTGGCTTTTACATTATCTATTAGTTTTGTGCCCGTGTTATGTCTGGGTTGTTGATTGAAATTTAATACGAAGTATAAATTTTTTTATGTTATTTGAATTTTCCAGACGCAAGTAGCATGGTCAGAGTAATTAGAAGAAATCAGTTTGGAGTTACACCTGTTTTCATATGAATGGATGAAATTTTTAAGATAAGGCCCCGTTCATTTCACCTTATTTTTGCTGAACTGAAATTAATTTTAGTGAACTTAAATTATTTTTAATGAACTGAAATTAATTTTACTGAATTGAAATTATTTTTGCTGAACTAAAATTATTTTTACTAATTTTCTATTATATTTCTTCTTTAAGTTTACTGATTTTTACTAAAGTGAAATTATTTTTATTGAACTAAACTTATTTTTACTGAACTGAAATTATTTTAACTGGATATTATTTTTGTAAGGTGAAGTGAACAGAGCCTTAGTTGTGATTTTAATACTATAGTGGAGAGTATTAAAATATACAACAATTTTTTGGTGTAGCAGGCCACACCGTGGGCAGGGGTTACTCGAGTTATTCGGTCAGAGGTTACTTGAGGGGTTTGGACAGGGGTTACTCGAGGGGTTCACTCGGTCAAGGGTTACTTGAGGGGTTACTCGGTAAGGAGTTACTCGGTTAAGGGTTACTCGAGTTACTCATTTAGGAGATACTTGAGGGGTTACTCGGTCATGAGTTACTCGGTCAGGGATTACTCGAGTTACTCGGTCAGGGGTTATTTTAAGGAGTTCGGTTAGGGATTACTCGTGTAATTCAGTCATGGGTTATTTAAGGAGTTCGGTTAGGGGTTACTTGAGGGATTACTCGATCAGGGATTACTTGAGGGGTTCGGTCATGGATTACTCTAAGAATTACTCGATCAGGGGTTACTTGAGGGGTTACTCGGTTAGGATTAGCTCAAGTAACCCCTGACAGAGTAACTTGAGTAACCCCTGATCGAGTAACTTGAATAACCCTACCAACTCGAGTAATCTCGGCAACTCGAGTAACCCCTGACCGAGTAACCTCTACTTCACGGTACAACAGACTGTATAAAAAAAATTGTGTAAAACATAAAGTTTTTGTGTTGAAGGGGAGAGTACTAAATTTTGAACTAATGATTCAAAAGCTCTTATTTTTATATAAATAATTTAAGGTAACATTAGGAAACCATAAAATACGTAGTATTAACAATATGAAGTATATGAAGCAAAATAATTAATTGATACTCTTAGACCTTGTTTGGTTCACCTTATTTTTACTGATCTGATCTGGTCTGGTCTGGTTTGATCTGATCTGATTGTCTGATTTGACCAAACTTTGACCTTAAGTGTATGATAATTTATAAGGAAAAAATATATCAAGTGGGATCTTGTTAGATTCGTAATAATGTGTAGTTTATTAATATGTAATTTTCACAATTTTTTTCATTACGAAATTAAGAATATTTAGCGATAAAAAACCGCACATAAAACAATGTTCTGATCTGAACTTTTTTTTTTTCTGATCTTAACTTATTTTTTCCTGAAATAAGTAAAAATAAGTTAAACTAAACAAGGCCTTATTTGATAGTAGTGCTAAGTTCAAGTATTTACGGACTATGTTTCAAAAAAAAAAAGTATTTACGTACTATGAATAATAATAAAGTTTTTACATATTAGTGTTTTATAAAAAAAAAAGAAAAAATAAGAAAAGAAAACAAAAACTTAGAAAGCTGGGAAGTGTAATATGTAGGGTTGTAAGAGTAGTAATGTACAAATAAAAATAACTATTGTCTAAAGTTGTGATCTCTTTTTATTTTTTCTACATTGTATGTTAAGACTTGAGATATTGGTTATATAGTTATATATAATAACATATCTCTTTGATTTATGTTTTGTTTTTTTTTTTTCCTTTTTTGGAGGGAGGAGAATGGGAATACAATTGTACCTCTATATACCCTACCCCTTTGGATTCACTACTTGTACATACTACGTATGAAATATTGGTACTTTATTGGAAAAAAATTCTAAACAAAAAGTTTTATCTAAAAATCTATCCAAATTTTTTTACACAAAAATCTATCCAAATTTCATTGAAGATAAAACTCTAAAATAACTTTTTTATCGTACAAATCTATCTAAATTTATCCAAGTTTTTATCCTATTCTACATATAAAAAAATATATTAAAATAAATCTTATGTGTCATACTTATATCCAATTACTGCCTACGTGGCGCGACACTTAGCAAACAATAGAAATGCCAAGTGTCACTGTTTCGTGGCTTGGCTAAAAATTTAGCGCTATATATTAATTTTGACCACATTATTCATAATACAGTACGAGTAATATATTTCGTATTAATACTAATACGGAGTATATTATCATTATTGGATTCGTATTAATATTAATATAGTATATATTATCATTATTGGATTAATCTCAATGTATAATTTATAAATACTACGGAGTAATTATGAGTACATGATGCTATCAAAAGAAGATCGTTTACTATTGGTTTGGATAAGGTTTGAATACAGTAATATACTTTGTATCAATACTAATACAGAGTATCTTTCAAAGAGTTAACAAAATCCATCAGCAAAAAAATACTTCTTTTATTTATTTATCGCATCATAGAGGATTTGACGGCAAAATTTAATAGTGGTAAAATTACAATATTGTCCTTGTATTAGAAAAAAATGAGACCCACCACATAAAGCACATGCTGCCAGCTGTGGTGATGTTTGGCAATGTATTACACAAAAAGGGATGCTTTTTACTACCTGCACTCCACTCACAAACAGTGAAAAGTGGGAAAGTTTTACATTTACCAAACAAAATTCAGTTTAACTATCCCCACCAAAATTTTCAACAATGAAATTTTTTTAAATAACCAAACACCAAAATTTCAGAATTTCAAAAAAAACCGCCAACATTGGTGATTCTAAATTAAGACTACCCAAGTACTTCAACTACACTAGAAAAGGAGTGAGTTACTCAGTCCACTACATTGAATGCTTTAACCAACTTTTTTTTTTCTTTTTTTTTCCCGAGGTAGTCCACTGCACTTGGAAGCACACAGCACACATAGCACTTAACACCGTTTCTTCTGTCATCACAGCATACACATCACATTAGGGGAATGGATTCTGAGTGGTTTGAGGATGAAGATCAGCTTTACAATTTGGAACAGTCAACACAGTTTCACGAAGATTACGAGGTACTCTTTTCTTCTGAATCTGAATCTGATTGTGAAATAGGATTAGAAAATAATGGTAATCCAACAATTGTAGTTTTTGAGTTAGAACATGATAATGTCACAGTAGATAAAAATGGAAAAAAAAAATTTGAATTAACTGATAAACAAAGACAACATATTGTTCAAGAACTAATTCTAGCACAAGAAGGAAAAAGGTACTGCCAGGGGGGAATTAGTACCAAAGGGTTCAATTACAAAATTAGCATACAAATATAATGTACATAGGACAACTATTGGAAGAATTTAGGCAAAAGCTAAGGGGCAGTTTGGGGGAAATAGAGTCATTGATGTGTCCAGCAGAAAAAGACAAAGGGGAAGGAAGAGATTATACTTTGATTATACAATTTTAGCAGCAATACCAATTGAAAAAAGAACCACCATTAGAGGGTTAGCTGAGGCACTGCACTTAAGTCATACAACATTCTATAGGTTGCTTAGAAATGGCATACTTAGGGCACATACAAATAGCATAAAACCATCACTTCAGCATCACCATAAAATTAAAAGAGTGCAATTTATAATGGACAATGTCATTTCGGAAACGGTAAATGAACTTCCTAAGTTTAGTGCAATGTATAACATGGTGCATATTGATGAAAAATGGTTTTACATGAGTGATAAGACTCAAAGATTTTATCTTTTCCCGTGGGAGGATGACCCATACAGAGCAACTCAAAGTAAAAATTTCATGGAATTGGTTATGGTTATGGCTGGGACTGCTAGACCTCATATTTGTAACGATGGAGAAATATTTTGGGATGGAAAAATTGGTGTTTTTCCTTTCACAGAACAGGTAGCAGCAAAGAAAAACTCAAAGAACAGAGTGGCAGGCACAGTTGAGACAAAGGCTTTGCAATAAGTTATTAAAGCTATTATCAGGTCAATGTTAATTGATAAAATGCTTCCAGCAATCAGATCCAAATGGCCTTTAGGAGCATGTAAGGAAATATGGATACAACAAGACAATGCCAGACCCCACATCAGCCCTAATGATACAGATTTTTTACATGCTGCAACTTTGGATGGTTTCAACATCAGGCTTTTAAACCAGCCAGCCCAAAGCCTCGACCTCAATATTCTAGATTTGGGGTTTTTCAGAGCCATTCAATCAATTTAGTATAAGGAATTTCCAAGAAGTTTAGAAGAGTTATTACAAGCAGTTGAAAAAGCATACAACACATATGATCCAAAGTCTTTGAATTTCACTTGGTTGCACATGCAATACTGTATGCTGGAAATCCTTAAGGGAAACGAGGGAAATCGATATAAAAACCCTCACAATGGAAAGAAAAAGCTTGAAAGAATGAGACAGCTGCCCGTTCAAATAGAAGTACCAAATGAATTAATGGTTCAAGGTCTAAGTTTCCTTGAACATGGACAGATTGATGTCAGTATTCCCCAACCTAGTAATACTGAACACAATCTGTCTCAAGGGACTTAAGAAAAGTGTTCTAGACAATTGCATTTACAAGGCTTTAATAGTGGAAATAGGCACAGGGACTGCCACACATAACCAACATTTTGTTTACACAATGGGTTTGTAACATATTTTAATCCTCTTTGGTTATGTGTACTTTTGTATTTTGTAAGTTTTTGTCTAAGGCAGTCATGTTAGAAGACATTTTGTGAAGGGACTTAATTTGTAGCTAACTTTAACATTGTATAAAGTCTTCCAAATTACTAGTATTGTATATGAAAGTCAGCTTTTATTTTTTTGCACATACATTTACAAGCATGAATACATTACTTCTAAGTCACAGTAAACATAGGGTGGTTAATCCAACAGAGGGTGTCATTTTTTCTCAAAAAATGATGCAAAAACCATGTTACCTCAACAGTAAGTGCACAACACTAAAACTGGAGCAAATCATAGTTTGGACCAATTTTAATCAACTGAGTCCCTTCATCATATGGATCATTACCTAGAATTTTTTTAAAGCCCTATAAAACTAGTATTTGGAAAGGGTGGAGAATGACCTTTAGTTATGCCCTCTTGTATACTTTGGCCAAGAATGACTTCAGAATTGCTTGCACTGCCGCGCTAGGATATGCATCAATGGATGTGGTCAACCGCACATAGCTCTGTATCTCATACTCGACAAATGCACCCTATATAGAATGTTATAAAGCTTAGGAAATGACAGAAAAAAGACTACAGAGAAGAAAAATCGAACAATAAATCAAAGAACTAACCTGAAGATTGAGCTCATTGTAGAGTTCTTTAACTCTTGCCACACAGGCAGGGTCTTGTTTGCCATAGTTTTCCTGAATACCAAATTTATGCTAAAGAATTGAATAAACAGAATGATGAAACTGTCACAGTACTTTATCAAGAATGCGCGATCATAACTTACATGTAAGACTTTTTTCTGTTCATCATTACAGAGTTCTAGAGCTTTCACAACCAACCACGAACACTTAAATTCTTCAATATCAGTTCCAGTCTGAAGTGTAAGCATAACATATAAGAAACTCAAATAAAACAGACATATTTAAATTTTAAGAATGCAGTAGCAATTAGTTTGCACCCTCGCTCACCTTGCCATTTTCAGGGTCTCCAAAACAATTAAGATAGTCAACCTATAACAGAAGAAATTAAGCATCAAACTTGTAAGAATGAACACAGAAATAATGATGTACTGTATTATTCGTCAAACTAGCTAGTGTTGGAGTTCGTATACACATTTGGTCTTCATTCCACCTGAAGATTTGAACCAAAATGTTGTAAAACTAAAACTAACCTGAATCTGGAAATAATTTCCTATATCAATTAGAATGCTTTTGGCATCAAGATGATCTTCAAGATTTTCTTCAGACATAAGTAAAGCACATGCAACCTGTAAATTTAAGGAAACATGCATGTCACAACAATCGAATTAATTAGAAGAGAACAGTACTAAGAAGCTTATAATATTATTTGCAAGCTCATACAATTAATGGAAAGAAACAGCTAACTAGACTTACTAGAGAGGATATGTACTGTTAGCTTGGCTTAGGACAGGCGAAAATGGTAAATTTTAACTTGGCTATTAGATGAAGGATGCATGAACAATTCAGTTTAACATATTCTGCGACTCTAATCAACTAAGGTCATGTTATGTACATACTAATTACAGTACATATGTAAGCTATTACTTAATTAGTATTTAATTTGAATGCATTCATCACATAAATTCTATGCTTTCAAGAGATATAACTGAGAATAAGAACTTTGTACATAAGTAATACTTGTATGTCTTATGATCATTATAGGATTTAAAACGAGTTCAAGTGAGAATCGAACTTACAGACGGATAGAATGAGTAGCTAGCAGTTTTGTACTGAACAATGCGACAGTGACTACATCAGGGAAAATGAACTTAGAAATATTAATTTATGTAAAGTTATAAGACAGAGGAATAGAAGAATGGTTTAGCTCTACTAACAGATCCAATGAATATTTTGAAAGGTCTTTTTCTTCTTCTAAAGTAGTAAGCAGATCGTTCAGTTGTCCATATGCAGTCTGAAACTCCACCTGTAATACACAGGACACGCTTAACATATATGCATAGCTATATTAACATGTAGCGAAAATTGTATGTAACCTCGGACCAACCAAATCATAATTACCTCATTAAACAAATCCAACAGTTCCACATAATACTTCTTATTTCTGAAATGCTTCTTGAGAACTCTTTGAATTTGATGTCGAAGTATTATACCACCGTTAGTACCCATCATGCGAATCTGAAAGGGGTAAGAACATTCCACTTACAGCAGATATTACGGCTAATGCCTTCTCAAGAAGACTGAATGTAACCTAGGATATATTACACACCTTTGGATCTTTGAACCAGAGAGGCCGATCTCTGATTGTATGACGCTTTTCCAAAATTTCACCAAGAAAAAGGAAATATGAATGAAGCTAAACAAACAAGTTTGTAGTTAGTCTAAGTCTACTCTCTGAAAGTAACGAGTGATTATTATACGACTGCACATACACGAGGCATAGTTTATGTCTATGTACCCATTCGATACACCACCCAAGTGCAGAAGCAAGAAAGATTTCATCATCAGTCAGTTCTTTTCCATCTTTCAAGAGCTTGTAGCTGTCAAGAACAGAAATCCCTCGGCTTAGCTTCTCTGCAGGTCAAAAGAATTGACGAATTTATTGAATGCTAGTATATCAAGGCAAATATAATTTATAGAAATTGTTGCAACTTGGAATAGTTAAGACATAGATTTTTACAGGTTCCTTACCTCCTGGGTTGTCCTGCTCCTGCATCTGAAAAACGGTGCAGATAGAATATCAGACATATATTTCTGCTCAATATATAAGGCAATCTTTTTATTATCGGTGTTCAAGAATTAATGTATTATACGGAGTATATAGGAATATGATTTGGTAACTCTAATAACTCAAGCCTTAATTTGAATACTATCAATACTTTGGTATGATTAAGAAGCAATACTAGAATCGAAATATAAATTAGAACTAGCTAGAAATAAGAAGAACATGCACATTTCATAAATAATTGATCTTTGTCTATCAAGGGAACTCACAATAGTACTTTAACACTAATCAGTTGAGGTTGAGGTAGTGGGATAGTGGTATCGCTCCTTACCCAGATCCCCTATAGTCTATGGATCAAACTTTACGCGACTCATTTGAGGGATTGATTCCCCATACATGCCCTTAGGTGATCCCTTAGCTTCTTCTTAACCAAAAGAAAAAAAAAATGAAACTAACTTAACTATGATGAATCATATAGTATATATGCATAATTGTGTTCTAACTTATACAAGTGATAATGTGATATACTATATGCATGCTTCGTGTAAGAGTCATAGTAGTCACAAAACTTTGATTTATTTATAAAGGAGATTAATAGTTGAACAAATGTAAAAGAGCTTAATCTACCTATATATATATTCCAAAAACATAAAGAAAATAGTGAATATTACCAAGAAAACTAAGTAGAAATCATTGAAAGCATGGTCAACCCATTTTCGAGAAATGTCAATCCCATCAAAAGCAGGGTCATTCATGAGTTCAGATTTAAGGATTTGATAAACATCAAGAAATTTTGACCTCAAATTATCGCTCATTTTTCTTTTTCTTTTGTCTTTCTATGCAACAATCAACCTGCAACAAAAACAAGAAAAAACTTTAATGTCTTGGTGTTTTGTAAAATGTCAAGGTTTATGTCTTCTACTCTTCTTAACTTGCTGAGTTGCTAGCTAAGTGTGTTTCTTACTCCTTCCATTCGCCTTCATTTTTTGGGAAGGTGGGGAGAAAGAGGAAGTTGATACGGAAATTGAATCACACGAGAGCCCTTTAGACTTGAAGTGTGGGGGGTGGATAAGATTTGAATTCGTGACACCTTTATGTCAAGTTGGCTTCAATACCATGTGAGACTACCAATTCAACCAAAAGCTTAAACTGATGTTTGAGGCCTAGGAATATATAATATTCACTACTCTATTATTTATGGACCGGATATACAATAATTGCTAAATTGATGGCGGGATTTGATCCTAAATCTTGAATATTAAGTTAACTTTAACTAACACAATAGTTTTTAATCTAGTCAGTCAATCTAGCAACAATTAATTACAAAATTTTCTTGTATGAAATGTGCTCGACTGTTTGTATTTCCTAGTTTGTAGCTGATTGCATTGCAAGCAAAGCCAAAGGAATTTGATTTCACGTGGCATCAGTTGACCTAACAGTTAACAATTTATAGTTTAATTCAAACTGGTTATTGCTTGATTAAGAAACTGAACGTGGCTTTAGCTTGTTTCTGTAGCGGTTTTCATCCCAACATTTAAGCAACATTTAAGAAGCAAAATGTATGTGATCTAGTCCATTGGTTCCACTAAAATTGTCTCTTATACTAAAATTATTAGATATTCTATTGAGTTTGTCCCATCCTCTTCTAAGGACATTTTTACAATGCGATGACAATCTATGAATGACTATCTTTCGAGGTTATACACAACGCAACATCCCGAACCATGTCATGCACCTTGGCGTACGAGTAGTAATAAATTACATGCATGCTAAGAGATTTTTTTATTGCTATGATTTTTACTTGAGCTTCAAGTAGTAAATTGTGGGATCTTAATCAAATAAACCGTACTACCCTAAACCAGGAGCGGATCTACATTGGTGCACGTGACTCAGCAGTTAAAAAAAAAAAAAAGGCGTGAAGCGACGAAGCAAACCACTGAGTCACTGACTTTTCTCGGACTCCATTGCACGAATTCGCGATTTTTTCTTGGACTCCATTGAAATGCAGATAGAGTAAAGAAAAGAGGAGGAGAGAGAGTGGCACGGAGAAGAAAGAGAAAGGGGTAGCTGGTATTAGCAGTGGTGATATCTGATATTTTGAGTGGGGTGTGAGGTGTCAGGAAAGTGGGGGTAAGGGAAGTGGGTAGAGGAGTATAGTGAAAGATAATTGTATTTACTTGAATGATTAAAAGATGAGTATACAACCTATATTTATACAAGGAAGAGGCTAACAAACTATACGTATACAGCAAAGAGATAAACATACAGCAAAGAGAAGGATAATAATATATCCCTACAAATATGGAAAAGAGATAATCACAAAAGATAATTATCTTGTATCTCTATCATGCCCCCGCAAGACGGACGATGGGTTTGAAAGTCCGATCTTGGTAAGCAATAGACCAAGTCGAGGTCGTGATAAAGGTTTGGTAAGAAAATCCGCAAGCTGGTCCCCTGTGGAGACATGAACTACTCGCAAAACTCCTTGTTGAACCTGTTCTCGAATGAAATGATAAGACACAGCGAGATGCTTCATTCATTCTTGATTGAAAAACAAGATTGGCAGTGAGATACGTTGCACTAAGGTTGTCACAATAGATAACTAGAGTGCATGGCAATGTGACACCCATTTCAGTGAGTAAATTGCGAACCCATAGTATTTCGGTTGTTGTGGTCGACTGACCTGTATTCAGCTTCAGTAGAGGAGAGAACAAGTGACCGTTGCTACGTGATAGGCGTACGACCCAGAACCACAACATACCCCATAGTAGAGGTATAGTCATCACGATCTCCTGCCCAATCGGCATCTGAAAAGGCATAAAGAATGGGTGAAGTATCACGGTAAATCGTGATCCCTTTGTCAAGAGTACCACTCAAGTATCGAAGGAGTCTCTTAAGGGCAGTCCAATGGGCCGTTGTTGGACAATGCATGAACTGAGACAGCCTGTTAACCGCAAAGGCGACATCCGGCCGAGTGAGTATGAGGTATTGCAAGCTTCCTACAGCAGCCCTATAGTCTTTGGGAACAGCAAGGGGGGTGCCTGTCAAAGCCGTGAGATGTTCCGTCAAGACCATGGGAGTTGAGGCTGGTTTGGAGTCAAGCATGCCGAGTTTCTCTAACATATCAATAATGTATCTTCACTGATTTAGGAAAAGGCCATGGGTCGTAGGCATGACTTCCACACCCAGGAAGTAAGAAAGGTCGCACCCAAGTCCTTCAATGAAAACCTGTTAGAAAACTGCTTGATAAAATTGGTGAGAATAGCTTGATTAGGACAGGTGACAATAATATCATCAACATAGACAATGAGATAAATAGAAGTGCTCGAATGATGTAAAATGAATAATGAAACATCGGAGACACAACGGCGAAAACCAACTCCAACTAGATAGGAAGCCAACTCAGTGTTCCAAGCTCTCGGGGCTTGCTTTAGACCGTAAATTGCTTTCTTTAATTTGCAAACATGGGAAGGATATGTAGGGTCTGTAAAACCAGGGGGTTAGGCCATAAACACCTCCTCAGTCAACGAGCCTTGTAGAAAGGCGTTGTTGACATCCAGTTGACGAATGAACCATCCTTGAGAAATAGCAAGACTAAGAAGAATACGAATTGTGGCCGGTTTTACAACCGAGCTGAAGGTTTCGGTGTAGTCAACCCCGGGACGTTGCTGGAAACCTTTTGCAACAAGGCGTGCCTTGTACCGCTCAATAGAGCCATCTTTGTTGTACTTGATTCGAAAAACCCACTAACACTTCACAATGTTAGAGGCAGCCGTAGGGGATGTTAGGTCCCAAGTACCAAGTCGATGAAGGGAGGCAAGTTCCCCCTCCATGGCTTTCCTCCAGTTTGGGTCTTATAGAGCTTGGGAAACAGTGCGTGGAATTTCTGGCCTGGTTTAGGCTGGGTAGTAGTGTGATGCATATATTTCTTGTTGGGCTTGAAGATGTTGTTTTTGGAGCGAGTAATAATGCCGAAGGGTTGGGAGGGTGATTGAGAAGTGTGAGTGGTAGATAGGGGTGCGGTGCTAGCAGTGGCGTGAGGAGAATGTGTGGCAGAGGTGTGTGGCGTGGAGGCAATGGTAGGAGGACTGGTCTGGGCAGAAGGCGTGGAGCGCAGTGAGGGTGATGAGGTTGGAGTAGAGGGAGAGGAATCTGCAATTTCGGTGGCTAGTTGGTGCACTAGATTGTGAAGAATGGGCAGGGAGATTTGGCACCAAGTGTTCGAACTTGGAATAGGAGGGGAAGAGTCAGTAGGTGTGAGATGGGAAATTGGAAATTCATCCTCAACAAAACGGACATGCCGTGATGTGTAGACACGATTCGAGGTGGGATCCAAGCAATGATGTATCCTTAACAAATATATAAACTTGAGTAAAATAAAAAAAAATCAAACTTCAACATAATTTTTGCCAAACACAGTGTCATGTACTTCAATAATTACATATATTTTTTTGAATATATTTATAAAATAACACAGTATATTAGAAGTTTCAAGAAAGTAATTAGAATATTAATTATTTAAAATAAAAGATTTGATATGCAACCTTCTATAAAAAAAACATTAACAACTACGGAGTATAAATTTAAGAAAAAAAAAACCGGATTCTTAACATGTGACATACTGAGTGTAATGTACTATGTTTATTACAGCACCAATTTACTTTCTAAACAAATTAATATAGAAATCTATCTACGAGTTGAATACTAGGGTCCGTTTGGTAGGGTATAAAACATTTTCAATGTAAAACGGTTTTCCATGAAAATCATTTTACAATGGAAAACTCATTTTCAAAAAAGTTTTCCATTGTTTGGTTGAATGGAAAATGATTTTCCATTTTAAACATTTTCCATTATTTGGTTGAACTGAAAATTCAATTGTGAGGGAAAATATTTTCCCTCCACTTGTGATGGAAAATGTTTTCCCTCTACTTGTGATGGAAAATGTTTTCCTTCTAAATTGGGGGGGAAATATTTTCAATAAGGTGGAAAATGATTTTTCACCCCAAGTTTTACATTTTAATGTCTTACACCAAACCAAACAATGTAAAATGGGAAAACACTTTTCAGTGAAAATGTTTTACGCCCTACCAAACGGATAGTATATAGGTTTAAGAAATTCATTTGGTTAATAAGGAAAAAAAATGATACCAATTTGTTGGTGAAATATACAAAAATATATAGATATTGTCAAATGCGTATATTAAAATTCCTATCTGGCTAACATCCCCTTTCATAATAAATTCATTACAATATTTTAGACAATTTTTTTTATATTAAAATTTAGTTTTAATTTAAGAATAACTATTTAAAATTACCGTGCATGGCACAGGACCTAACCTATTAATAAGCTAATATGAAGTGTGCCTACCTTAATATACGTAAATATGCTTGGCAATATCTCAAGAGGTGGGAATTAACTATTATACAATAAGGGACGATAAAGTAAGGAGTTTCATGCCAACAAATTCTTAAGAACCTTCACCAAAAAAAAAAAAAAAAAGATAATAATAATAAAAAATAAATAATAAATAAAATCTTAAGAAACTTGTAAATACAGTAAGGGACGGAAAAGTTGGACAGTTTTATTGCTCTCCCTCGAAAGAAAGGGCGGCCTCCCTCGTGAGAAAGAATTTACCCACCACCGTTTGCCGTGGTTTTTCTCTGGCTACTATGGGTGATGACCTGATTGTTAAGTGCGCAAACCTTAATCTGGAGGAGGAGGATGGCAAAATTGTGGATTTTAGGACTGTTGCTTCGAATGATGCTAGGGTTTCTCTGATGATTGTTGGGAAATTATTGACTAATAGAGTTGTGAATCTCGAAGCATTTAAACGAACAATTACCCAATCTTGGGGGATGAAAGGGAAGGTTGTAATTAGGGCTATTGGCTCAAATCTATTTGTCTTCCAATTTTTCCATTGGAGAGACAAGGAGAAGGTGTTACTCGGGCGGCCATGGTGTTTTGAACATAGTTAACTAATCCTTAACAAAAATAAAGGAGATGAACAACCGACGGATGTGGTTTTGACTCACTCGCCATTCTAGGTTCGATTCGAAAATCTTCCTTTCAATTGCAGATCTGAAGGTCATGTGAAGGCGATTGCTGGAAAATTGGGCGATATTATTGAGATTTGAAGAAGTCGTCCTGGGCATTGAGAAGAATAGGAGGGTGAAGTGCTTCTCGATGTCAGCAGACCTTTGCGACGTTTTATAAATGCGCAGAACATAGAAGGTGTGATTGTCAAAATTAATCTAAAATATGAACGACTCTCATTTTTCTGTTTTATGTGTGGCGTAATGGGTCACAATGAGAAGGACTGTGTGACTGTGCCGGAAGAGATGCAGAATCAAGGCCTTGGGTGGGGTTTATGGTTGAAGGCTTCACCCAAAAGAGGCAGAAGGTTGGATATATGTTGCGGAGGTTCAAGAGCTTAGCGTGGCAAAAAAATTATCCTTTGTCACAAAGGACCCAATTGTTGAAACTAATGCGACGTTGAAGATTGCTCGGAAGGAAAATGAGGTTCAGATGCATAAGGGAAGGGAGGAGCTGATAGAGGGAAAGGAGGGGCAGGGGAATGTGAGTAAGGAGGTTGGGGTGGGGTCTCAATTTTGAGGGAGAGAGATGCTGAAAAAGAAACCTCACTTGGGGTAGATATGGGGGGGGGGGGGGGGTGAGATGAATGCTGACAATATGGAAGTGGAAGGTAATTTAACGATGATGTTAGCTCCTGGGGGCCTGTACCTGTTTTTAATATTGGTTTGACATCTAATGTTCAGTCACACTTTAGCAAACTGAAAAAGAAAGTGATTGTGCAGGCCTTTCTCAAACAGGAAGTAGTAATGTTAGGGATATAGTGGTGAGGGTGGGCAGTAAAAGAAAGGAGAGGGGGAAGGAGGAGATGCTGGATGAGGATGTTAGGGAGGAGTTGGGAAAAAAGCAAAGAACTCTTGTGTGTCAATGGACTTGGTGCCTGTGAGTCAAGTAGCGGAGGTTGGTGATATCTAACCCCGCGAAGAGCAATGAAAATCTTAGCTTGGAACTGTTATGGGCTTGGCAACCCATAAACAATTAAGGCTCTCCAAGATTGGTGTTGGAGGGATAGGCTAAATGTGGTGTTTGTCACGGAATCAAAAAATTGATGACAAACGCTTGGAGTTGATTAGAAATAGATGTGGTTATGTTAACGGTATACGTCTAACTAGTGTAGGGAGATCGGGGGGTTTGGGCTTGTGGTGGAAAGACATCAATGTTGAGGTTCGATCTTTTTTGGCTCATCACATATATGCTGAGGTGTGTGACAACGAGAACGAACCAATTTGGAGGTTGGCAAGAATTTATGGCTGGCCGGAGGCAACAAATAAGCATCTTACGTGGGATTTGATGAGAATACTAAAAGCGGAGTCAAATCTTCTGATATTTAGGGATTTTAATGAGATACTCGGGATGCATGAAAAAGAGGGTAGGGCGGTTAGAAGGGAATGCCAAATTGATGCTTTTCGTGGGGCTTTAGATGACTGTGAATGTAGGGACCTTGGCTTTAAAGGGAACATTTACACTTGGCAAAGAGGCACTCACTACAAAAAAATTAGACATTTAGCAACAGATCAAATCCGTTGCTAGTTGGCAAAACTATTGTCGCTAAATGAGACTAGCGACGTTGTAATTGTTTTCCGTTACTGAACTTAGCAACGGATTTTTATTTCCGTCGCTGGTTTTAGCAACGAAATATTTTTATCTGTCGCTGGTATTAGCAACGGGGAAAAAAAATCCTTCTCTAAATTTAGCAAAGGAAAAAATAATCCGTCGCTCATATCAGCAATTGGAAAAAAAAATCTGTCTCTAAATTTAGCAACGGAAAAATAAAATCTGTTTCTAAATTTAGCAACGGAAAAAATTATTTTGTATTTAAAAGTAGATGCTATTCGGCTCGACCTCACTCGGGTCAACCCGACTTGGCTTTGCATGTAAGGCTCCTTGAATCTTCAATCTCAAGAATCGCAATAGGTAGGAGTCGATCCCGTGACCTCAAAGTCACATAGTGACTTCAAAGTCACATAGTGAAACTCTTACCAATTATACTAAGTATTATTTGTTTACTTCAACGCACATAATTGATAATAAG